AAGTTTGTAAATAGTTTTTGGTAATACTACTGGTGATATCGATATAGATGGTAATATGTTTGAACAGGTAGATAAGTTTAGGTATCTAGGTTCTACGATGACTAGAAAAAAATTTTCTGTGACAAAACTACTTAGTTCGCGCCTCTTGTCCCGAAACATAAAAATTAGAATCTATAAAACAATTATCTTGCCTACAGTTCTTTATGGGTGCGAAACTTGGCCGCTTACATTAAGGGATGAGCAGCGTCTTAAGGTTTTTGAAAATAAAGTATTGCGTAGAATATTCGGACCGAAGAAGGATGAGTTAACCGGAGAGTTCAGACGGTTACACAACGCCGAATTGCGTGAACTGTATCCGGGTAATGTAATTGAGGTAATTTCATCGCGGCGAATCAAATGGGCTTGTAAAGTTGTTGGGCTTAGTAACGAGAGAATTCCTAAAAGGTTAATATTTGCTGTGCCGAATGGTAGGCGTCCGAGGGGTAGACCGAAGCGAAGGTGGGAAGATTGCATTAAAGCCGATCTGAAGGGACTGAGTTTGGACGGCGAACGATGGAGGGAGGTGTGCAATAAGCGATTGGTGGTGTCGGCATCGAACCTTCGGGTTCGCTAAGCCTTTTTATTATTATGATTATGTAAATAGTGTATGTAATAAAATAAAAATATCCATCTGACGACAGTTTGGTGACATTTTACTTAATACTGCTCTTCTTATATTGTTAATATAATTTCTAATTGCGTATCAGTTTGATGATCAGCCTCTGATTCAAATATTTATTGTTCATTTATGTTATTCATAATGTATTGAAAAAAATAAATGAAGGTGATTGAATTAATTGGTAATGGACTAAGCGCTGGCGTAGATTAGGGCTTAAACAGTAATTTATATGTATATATATATATATATATATATATATATATATATATATATAGGATGTCCAACCATAGGCGGATCTACGGGGGAGGGGAAGAGCTCTTTAGGGCTGAAGCCTCTCCCCCTAAAATGGTGAAATATTACCATATTTAATGAAAAAAAATATCTTTAAAAGTATTACTGTTCGTCTGATTACATTTAATAGGACTTCCGAAGTAATTATCATAATACACACACACACACACACACACACATATATATATATATATATATATATACATACAACAACAAAAATTTCGGGCTGAAGCTCACCCAAAATTAAATCCTAGATCCGTTAGTGTGTCCTATCTCTGGGGTTTGGCTTGTTTCTCCCGACTCATCCTATATACAGGATGTCCTATAAGTAAAGGAAAATATCTAAAAAGTTAGTAAAAGATATCCAGATCTACAACAAAGTTCATACAAACAATTGCCCAATTTCCAGAAAAAAAAAGGAGATTTAAGATTTATGTTTTTTATACGAGTCCCGTTTTTTACTGAAAAGAAAGCGAAAACTAAAAAAAAATTTAGTTTAAAATTTAATTTTCCTAGTTTACTATAGAGAAATGTTAAGCTACTTAAATCAAATATTTTTTAAGTTATAGCTTTCTATTCAACAAAAAACGGGAATCGTTTAAAAAAACACAAATCTTAAAATTTCCTACTTTTCTGCTCGAAATTGGGCAATTGTTTAACTTTTATTGCATAACTTGTATACCTTGATATCTACTATCGAACTTTTAAATATTTTCCTCAACACTCTGTATATATATATATATATATATATATATATATATACATATACAGAGTGTTGATATATATATATATATATATATATATATATATATATATATATATATATATATATATATATATATATATATATATATATACCTCACACATATCGACCTGTCTGACACATCCTTCAGTAGATGGCATATAGTTTCATGATTTCAAATTAATTCCGAATCATTGCATCAAATACTGGTTCAGAATCAGTTCAGAATATCTCGAAATGGGAACTATGCATAATGCATATCCCTAATACAGGTTGTTGGAGAGGGTATCGAAACTTCGTATTTTGTAAGTCCTTATCTTATTATTTGTAGCTATATTATTTAGTTAATGTTGTTTCAGAGTGGAGAGAATACTCTAGCAGGATCCGGACGAACTCGATGCAACAGGGTGCAAGGTCATCCTGGTAGCGGGATTGCGTCCCTCCAAGGGGAGCTCAAGGATGCCCAGCCCTCTGGCTCCTCGCCTCTGGAATGTCGACAATGGTTAGCTGCTGCCATTGTTTAGAGCCAATCAAACCAGTGCTTTCTTTATGGAAATTTCAAAATGGACGTTCCGTCGAACAGTTTGTTTACGAGCATCTTCTTACATCAGCTGAAAAATGTCATGCACGTTTACGTTCATCTTAAAAGATAACAATGTTCCGTTTGTTAGCAAAGATGCACGGGCGGATCTACGGTGGAAGTGGAGGGCTTTGGGGTTGAAGCCTCCCCAAAATGGTAAAATATAGTTTTATGGAAAAAAATATTTAAACATTGTCTCTTAAAGTATTATTGTTCGTGTAATTACATTTAAAAGGACTTTAGGAATCACTTAAACATCATTTCATATAGGTAGTTAGTTTCTTTCTTTTTTCCAAAGTAATTATCGTTATTTTTATAATAAAAAAAAAGCTTTCGTGCTGAAGCTCCTTCCCCCAAAATTAAATCCTGGATCCGCTAGTGCAAAGATGGGCAAACTATATTTCATTTTAATATTTAACAAACTTGCATCTTAAATCTACGACACTCTGTCCTGTATACTTCAGTAATATTATGTTTATATTAGTTTAACAGATCCGCTGCCTAGGACTCCATCTTGACAAGAGTAACTAAATAACTAAATAATAATGAAATCTTCGTACTTCAGAAACTTGAAGAATGGTTTGCACTTACAGTTTATATAAAATACCATTTTGTAAAGTACCATTTTTTTAAAAAAAGTCATCCACTTGGAATAATCCGATGTATTAGGAGATACGGGATTGCGATTTCTAGCTCGGCTAAACCTATAAAATTCTTAATGTTCTTTACCTTAGCTCAATAAAATTATCCATGGTGGACTAGACTTCTTAAATTTTGTTAAGACAACTCAAACTCAGTCCAACCTCCCCTTGCGTTATTCACTTCATACTTACACTGACCCATTAGTATTTCTGTTACTTTTTAACCTATTCCTGATAACCCTAATGACAACAGAAAAGAAGTGGACGTCGTATTATTATGATATAATATTACATAATCACTTTTTTTACATAATGTTTTCGTGGAGTAGTTAAAAATTTTAATAAAAAAATGCACGAGAGTATTTATTATAATTTTATTAAAATTTATAACCTAGAAAATAATTATGCATATTACAGCTACATGGCATTGGACACAATGAAAAAGAGGTCTCTTATGGCAATTAGTTACAATTTAGAAAACTCGTTCCTGAAAACCTGTAAACCTGTTTTTTAATTAGAGTAATATAGGAATAATCTGATTGGAAATAGTTGTATTATTATTAGTGAATAAAAAAAGTAATAGAATGTAAAATCGTATTAAAACTATATAGTAGGTTGATTCACATTATAATATTCAAGCATATCCTAAGTACTTGTCTCGACTTAAATTTTTATTTTTAAATTTTTTAAATTATTATTATTCTTTTTTTGTTGATGAAACAAGTTTTTTGTTATTTCACCAATTATTTAAATAAATAAAATTTTCTAAAATAGGAATAATCTGATATGTACGCTTACGTACGCTCTAAGATTTTAATTAATTAACTTACACCAGGCTATGGTCGAATTAGTCATATAACTTTAGTTTAGATAATTAATTTATTCGTAACTAATTATTCACATCATTCAAAATAATTCATGTTTACTGTTGCGTGTATACCATTGGGTCTATAGGGAGGAAACCCGAATATGACTTTTTTAACTTTATTTATCCAAGAAGTAAATAATATATACATATAAAAGAAAATAGGAAAAAATCTGTTGCAATGAGAAGAGCAATGGTAAATAGAAATTGCTGTATATATTTATTTTAGCATGATTAAGAAACATATATTTGTTGCTTGAATGTCGATTTCGAATAATTTACTACGAAGTTTTTAGTTGCAACGAAATAGTAGATCAACTTAGAATTTCCTTAAACAAGTACAAGAAAAAGTTTCTCACAATGTCTTCAGAAATATTTATATTTATAAATATTGTGTTAGATTCCTTTGAATAATGAATAATTGTATAAGGAATAATTATGTTAGCACGATAATTATATTTGACATTTGGAACTGCAGGTCAGAGCCTCAATGAAGGACAAGCATCTAGTTCCGTAAAAATGTCCATTGATTAAATTATTGATCGAAACTTATCAATCAGCTAATTCAATTATAACGTTGATCTTAATAAAACATTTTGAAGAAAATTTAAATAAAATTTTAGAGGAGTTTTTTTTTATTATTAATTCTGATTTTGATATTTTTTTGTTTGTTTTCTCTAACAAGTTAAAAAGATATTTAATCCTGTACATTTCAATATGTACGAAATTTATTTACACTTCTGAGGTTCTAGTGCGTCGTTCTTGTATAGGTACTCAGGAAGGTGTCTTGGGATGTGGAAGATCAAGGCACCTTCCCGACTAATATATGGTTTTACAATTTCTGCTTAATACTATTATAATACTATGATTAATACAACTAAAGATAATAGAAAATATTAGACGTTTGCTTTAAAATAGTGACAATGTTTTTCAAGTTCTTGAGTCCTTAAATTTGAAAATTGATCAAAAAAAAAGTGGGCTTTTACAGTTTCAATTTCACGAATAAGTATAACACTTTTAGTTATAGTCTATTTTACGTTTATGGTAAAAATAGTTTTTCAATATATAGATACGAAAACAATTCTTGGATTCCAGAGGCGTTCCAGTAGATTTGCGACAAGATTGTGTTATCGCAGTTTTTTAAAATCCATCGCTGGAATAATAAAGCTGAAAATATACTTTAGATATTTTAGATTATACATATATATTTGTGAAGTACTCACAAGAATAAGTGCTGAAAGGTACATCGGATGATGGCTGGGCACAGACTAGCAGAACCGAAGGCGGCGTACCCTGGATATAGAGAGGGGTGCTGTCCCCTCCAGGTTGCCCCACCACGGGCAGGGGAATGTCAACTATTGGTAAATATCATAATCTTCTTATATTTTTATAAAATTCTGGTTCCGGGATTTGGTTGAATATATGTTTTTTAGCACCATTAAAAAAAAAACAAAAAAAAACACGGGGACCGAACCATGTAGAAAATGATTTTATTCGATTAGTTCTTCAATTATTACAACGGAAACAATTATTACAATTCAATTGTTTTATGTACTTTAATAGAATGAAGTACAATAAAAGGCTGCTCAACTGTGTTGAATTACTAAATGACCCAGTACACTGATCGATTCTAATCGATAATATTTAATAATTATATAATTTATATTGAGCACCCAATTATATAAATATGTTAAAATTGTAATTTTAAATTAATAAAATTTCGTCGTAAACCAACGACTTCCTGTCCTACAGTTTCCTTTAACAATACTCCACTTATCCCTGTTGAGCAAATCCGATACCTAGGACTCCACCTGGACAAACGACTAACTTGGAATCCTCATACTAGACTGAAACGACAAGAAACCGCTCGACGTTTCCGATTACTTCAGCACTTACTAGACAAACGCTCTAAACTTCCCATTAATTACAAAAGACTCATATACTTGACTATAATAAGACCTATTTGGACTTACGCAGTTGAGCTATGGGGCTCCACTAAACCATCGAATTCCTCTCGCATCCAATCCTTACAATCCAAAATCCTTCGTAAAATCCTCAATGCTCCTTACTTTGTCACTAATAAAATTATCCATAAAGATCTTAATGTTCCTTATGTTTCAGATCTGGCCCAATCCAGATACCTATCCTTCCATAATAAACTTCAGAATCATCCCAACCCTCTCGTTTCTAACCTTGCTTCCTCTTCAATTCCTGATAACCCTCCGAGGCGTCTGAAAAGAAGATGGCCCCGTGATCTCCTAATGTAGTCATATCATTAGAGTGCTACCATTGGGTAGTTACTCAGCAAGTGTATATCAATTATGTCCAAATTTACTTGATGTATTTATGTAATACAGTTGTAAATGTCATAAAGAAAAAAAAAAATACACATACTAACCTCTACCTGTCAACAGTTCATCAACACATAACAACACTTTACTAACGAAAATATATACATTTAAATGGATCTTACAACAGTTTGCTAACAAGAGATATGATTATAGCTGACATACTACTCAATATGAGGAGAAAACTAAAAATGCACTGGTTGAGAGACCTCCTTTCTTAAACAACCTAAATAATTGAAACAAGTCGAGGAAGAAGTCTGCTGAGTACTGTCCTTCCCCATGCCTGTCATGTCATTATTTCCTTTATAGTCACTAGTGTTGCCCAAATGCGAGACCAAGACGAGTCTTGATCTTGCGAACTCATTCCTCGACTTGGTCTTGCCCAGTCTCGCAACATTCTTGAAGTTACCTATTAGCGTATTATTATAGAGACATTACTGTAGAGACAGATAGGGGAAATCTAACTAAACCCGAATGAAAAATTGGAAGAGTTATAAGCAAAATTATATTCGTTATATCCATTTATATAATACAATTGTATATCGTAACTAAAATTTTCAAGTATTAGTAACTATTTTGCCTTAATTGTTATTCACAAAAACGGTTCTTTTTTCACCATTCATGGTCTTGCTCTTGGTCTTGCAAAGTGTAAGACCAAGACCGATTTTGGGCAACACTAACAGTCACCCCATTTGCTGATTGACAACATAATTTTGATAGGTCCAAATAAATGTTAAAAGGCAAAACAAAAAGTACAATAATACTAAATATTCTCAATAAATAATAATAATAATAATACGAAACTTAAACATGATTATGACCGTACGAGGGCTAAGAATGGTCTGAGGTTAAAAAAAAAGCTATAAATTAACTTTAAAACTAATTTTTAAGTCAAGATAGTTTAAAAAAGAAAAAATCATAGATCAAAGTTTTATAAAAATCATTTATTTTGACTTAGTTAATCAGTATGTTTCATTTTAACACAACGATGTCATTACCATATACATACAACATCTTCAATTATTTTTACTGCTGATAGGCAAGGAAATTATTGTATTCGGCTCGATTTTCTTATGTACACATTTCAATCGTTCTATGCATTATATAACCATTGAATTAAAAATAAATATATAAGTCTCATGTTTAGCAATCATTGTATGATGATAAAATTTGTTTAAAAAAAATTGTCATATCAAAACAGTAAAAGCAAATATAAGCCGTATTATGCGTTGTTCCAATGTATTTTTAAAATATTCTACGCTCGTTCCTATGGAAAATAGTTCGAATTTCATCAATTTATCGAATTATTCGAAAAATCGAAGCGAAATATTCTAGATGCTTATTTGAAACATGATGGGATTGTCTGCATAGGCAAAATCTAATATAATAAAAAAAATGTTGTTCTAATATTAACGATGATATAGTAAATATTTTTTGCATTAACAAAAGTCGTACAAAAGTGGATACAATTAAAGTCTTTACATTAAAATTTTTAACGAACATAGGGAAAAGAAAATCAATATTTCAAAAAGATCGATATTATATTTCTCTTACAGTATAATAAACAAACTATGGGTAAATTTCTAAACTCAGTGAAGGAATACATACAATAATAGACAGCGATTTGTGTTGATTTTATAAATGGTCTACCGGATTGAAGCTAAATGATAAGACTTCTGGAAAGTTACAACATACACTAAAAAATATGTACTCAATTGTTGAATTTCAGAACAGAAATAAATATAGATAGAAAGCAAACTGAAGACAAATATGTACAGTACATTAAGAAACAACAATTGGGGTTGTAATAACGCTACATCCAGCAGATCCATCGACCTCAGAGCTAAAGGTGATTCAATCGATGAATAGCACTGAATTCTATCAATGATTTCTATCGATGAGTTTCAGTATGGTCTGATAGATTTCTAATATTGACTGCCTTTTACCCGCATAATTACGGCAGACATTCATTAAATAAAGTGACCAAAATATGTTTAAATTTCGTTTATAAATGATATATTAATAGAAACGAAAAAAAAAAACTTCTTCTGAATTTTAACACAAACATTATTTATGACTTAAAATGATAGGAATGTAAATATAACTGCGATAATGTTAAAATTTGAACGTTAATGAATTTAATATTATATTCATGCGTTAAATGATTTCGAAGTAGCTCAATAAATAAATAGAATATAAAAAAAAGAAGGAAGAGTAAAAAAACAAAAAAAAAGATGATGTAACTACTTTCATCTCAACATTTCCAATAAAGGATATAGTTCCGACCGATCTATTTCCCTGTGGTAGGTTGACATTTGACGAATTTAAAGGTGTCTGTGAACTGTCAGTCCGTCTTAAATGTCTGATTTCGTTGTTTATTTTCATATTCTACTTGAAGTAGAGAAATCTTTGAACGTGTATTTCATTTAATTTATTTTTTATCGTTATGCGATCAAGATGAAATATATTTTTTAAAAGTTATTACACTTAGGTAAACATAAAAATGTTTATAACTATATATAATCATAAGAAAAGATCGACAGAAGAATAAAGAAAGAAGTTCAAATGAATGAAAACGATATATCCTTCAAATGAATGATCCTTAAAAAAAAATTGTTAATACTCTTTGAAAAGTATAATCATAAGTTCAAATTCTTCTTGTGAAACACCTTCAATTAAAAAGTGAGCGTCCTCCATGCTTTATAGTTGTATAGCCTCCGACGCAAACCCCTTTTTATCAAATTATTAACATCAGCCTAAAACTTCGTGAATAGTTTCATCTTATCGTAACCTACAAATTTTTTATCTAAGAAAATTATCAGAAATCGGGTGTTTTCTCATTAAATTAACTAGGTACTAAAAATTCATAAAAAAAAAACAAAAAAAAACTTTGCTTTCCATTTAAATCGTAAGGTAATTTAATCACAAAATCGAAATAAAAGGTGACCTACAACAATATTGGGTCGTTTGACCTACATAACCTCGTTATTTAGACATGTTGATGATGGAGATAGCGCCAAAAGACCCAATATTTTTGTAGGCCACCTTTATTCTCGATTTTATGAGCAAATTATCTTACAATTCAAATGGTAAGCAAATGGGTGTTCAATAGTGTTTAGTTCCTAATCAAATAAGTAAGCAAAGTTTCCGAGAATATTCGTAAATGAAAAAGTAGTAGGTTACGATTAGATGAAGCTATTCACAAAGTTTGAAGCGGTTGTTCATAATTTGATAAATGAAGTACACAGGCGGATCTACGGAGGAAGGGGGCCTTTCAGACTGAAGTCCTCCCCCCCAAAATGGTAAAATATAACCATGTTTTATGAGAAATTTTTTTTTAAAAATATATCTTAAAGTATTATTGTTCGTGTAATTACATTTAAAAGGACTTTGGGAATTACTTAAACACCATTTCATATAGGTAGTTAGTTTCTTTCCTTTTTTCCGAACTAATTTTCGTTATTTTTAAGAAAAAAAAAGCTTTCGTGCTTAAGCTTCTCCCCCCCCCAAAAAAAATAAATCCTGAATCCGCTAGTGATGAGATCTGTACCACGGACTAAAATACACGACATAACAATATAATAAGATGTTTATAACTATTTATAATCATTAGAGAAGTTCAAAACAGAAAGAAGTTTGGATAAATGAAAACGATCAAGAAAAAAAATGTCCCTCAAAAATGTTTTTTTCTTTTTCGAAAAATATAATCGTAATAACTTTAAACTCTTACTGTGAAAAACCTTCAATTAAGAAGAGGTGTTTTTTGGGTTGTTGTCAATTTATTTTTCGATTAGGTGCGTTGAATATCTTCGGGTTTTTTTAATATATTAATTCAGTGATATAACATTATGTCACACGGACAATAATATAGTGAAGTAAGACTACATTCAGAAAAGATAAAATAAACAGAAGCAAAATAACAACTAAATAATAAT